ACTGTGGAAACCACAGGTTGACTTAAAGTGTACCTTTTCCTTCTTTCATGCAATTCAAGCCATCTTAGGATTGTACGATTCTAGCGTTGCCATTCCTCTTTAAGAAGCTGTAACTCCACCATCAGAAGATATCAGTAAAGTTCCGGCACACTCAAATTACAAGGGCTGCTCTAAAAGCTACACCTCCTGTGCCTCCAGTATTAGAGGTGGATATCAGTGATAATGGCAGTAACCAATATTCCTTTAGTTTTTTGTTACTTTCTGCCAGTACCAATTCAGTTAGCTTTAGGCTCACAAGAATAATTATGCAGGCCAAGTGCTTGATGCTCACACTTATAATAGATACTTCCACTGAGCAGAATTTTCCACCAATGAAAATCAAGACAACATACCACAAACAAGCTACCTGTGATCATTATATCTTAAGATAAAAAAAAAATCTGTCTTTGCTTCCATACAATATGAAGCTAATTACAGCACATGTATTCAGATTCTGATCCTGAGAATCTTTTGCTTAGATAACAGATAGACCATGGTCTCCATACTCACATAAAACAATTACATTTTATAAGTAGTGTAATAGCTACTAATCAGAACATTCAGTCAGAAATCACAGACCACTGTAAATGTTTTCTACACCTGATTACTGAAAGATGAGTATAATAAAGCAAAATTGAAGAGAAGTATAAGGTCCCATTACTGAGTAAAACATAGGAAAAAAGTCTATTTCAGAGTAAGCCAGTATTCCCACCTCCCTTTTTTCTAAAGGAAAGCCAATTGCCATCCAAAATATTCCTGCATGTTCTGGAAAGCTATCCATCACATCAAAACTGCAAACAGTCCTGAACTAAAGTCTCTCTGAGAAACATTAGAAATCTTAACTCAGGAATATATGAAGAAAATAATGAAGACAAAATAATAAAAACATTATCAGGTACCATCACTTTTTGTTGAAAGATACAGTAATTTGTTGCAAAAAGAACTAGATAACTTATCATACACCACTATGCCTACAAGCAAGCATTTTGGGATAAATTTTATTTATTTTTCATATCCTTTCATGATTGCTCTAGGCAGGAAAGCACTAGGACAAGTTAGGTTTATTAAGATGAAGTACTCACACCCCAAGCTGAAAAAAAAAAAAAAACTAAAACAAAAAGCAATACTGACCTAAATTTACTTCTTCAGAAATGTGTTCCAATTTACACTATGGTTTTTAATATTTTGACCTATACTAGACTTACACAAAAATAACCAGAGTAAAAGAATGGAGCTATATCAACCAGGGATAAGATTCATAGAATCACAAGGTTGGAAACGACCTACAAGATCATCCAGTACAACCATCTCCTCATCACCATTGCCACCACTAGCACTAAACCATATCATGCAGTATGTCATCCAGATGCCTCTTGAACACTGCCAGGGACAGCGATTCCACCACCTCCCTAGGCAGCCATTCCAGTGCCTGACCACTCTCTGAGAGAAAGTTCTCCCTTATGTCTAATCTAAACCTCCTCTGATACAACTTGCGGCCATTATGTACGTGCATTTGAGACAGAAAATATATAATACAGTAGAACTATCAGCCAAACACTCAAGTTGTTCCTAAAGTCAGGTCTCCTGTTTGACAAGTGGCAGATACAACTGAGCAAGGAGATCATGAAAGTTCTTCAACACATAACACAGAATGTTTCAGTCAGAATTCAATCATATTCAGCAAAATACCAGCCCCAAGAAGCATTTTTTACAACTGATAACTCCCTTTTTTCTTCAGTTTGAACTTGTCCTAAGGCTAATAGGTTCTGAATTTGCAAACCTGAGTCACGCTTCTGGCTTTAGTGAAGCAATTAGGTAGCCTGTTAGTGTCAGTTACACAGTTCTAAAACAAACAAACAAACAAACAAGAAAACAACCAACATAGTTCTTAAGACAGAAGTATTGCATAGTCAACAAATGTACAGTTAGACGAGAAGTGCAGTTAGGATAGTACTTCACATATGTTAAAACTGGAAAGACTACCATAGTGTAAAAAAGACAAAAAAAAAAACAAAAAACAAAAAACTCACCCATATCCAAGGATCTAGGCTCACAGTGAAAAACTCCAAGAAGAAGAGATTTCTGGAAAGAGATTCTACTCTACCCAACAGTCAGCCTTTAAATGGGATCTAGGAGCCTGGCTCCACCCCTTCCATCACACAAGTGATTTGCTTCACCTGTGCTCCCACAGCTGACTCAGTCCTTTTCCTTAAGTATCAATCAGTGGTTCAGGTGGTGACTCAACAGTTACTGTACAGGTATATAGAGAAAAAAAAATAAACTAAAAAACCCCACAAAAAATAGCATATATACTCTCCAAGATAGCTGTTTGAAAAGCAGCAGAAGCACAGACAAGTTTCAAGCAAGCATCCTTAGCAACAGAAAGAACAAAAACGTAAGTACGTAGAAATCAGAGTAGAAGCGTAGGCAGCTATTCCAAATATCCTTTAGGCAGCAAGCCAGCAGTAGAAGTGTGGGGAAAAAAAAACAACCAAATACGTGGAATATGTATTCTGCTGCACCTACTTCAGCTCCATCCTCTATAAATACCTCCTCTTTCGTACTCCATTTTCTTGGAAAAAAGTTCCCTGGCTCTTACTGGGAAAGGGTTAGACCACAAGGCATAGCTACACTCCGCACAAATTAGCATAGGTAGATGTCTGTGGCATTAAAGAGGGCTGAGTGTCCAAAAGCTATAAGATATTTCCAACTATAGCAGTTGGTCTAATATAATATGTCACTCCTTCTACAAATTAATGTGTCTAAGATCACACCCACATGTACTGCCTGCAGTCAGAAAGTCAAGTTAACCTACACAAAGGTCTTTACAATGGCTTGCTATTAGAGGAAGAAAAAGCAAGATATTGGTACTACCTCTGGAATTGCTGCCTGTTGTAATTTAAGCAACTTTACATACAGTTTTTCAGTTTCATCATCATTTTCATTATATTTCTAAATGGAAGGTAACAGCAGCACCTGCCTCTCATAAGTTATTGCTAAGGCAGCAGGGCTATATGAAAGCAATTTGTCAGTGACATTTTGCAGAGACAACCTTAACTTCTTGTGTGTTGATATGACATATGAAAGGGATAGGGAATGTGTTTTTTTGTTTCCTAACTCCCACATCATTTAAAAAAAACAAAACAAAACAAAAACACAAAAAAACAGAAGATGTTCTTAGAGTATGTTTTAAAGAAAAGTTTATCCTATGTTCTTTCACTGAGCATCCATATTCTGTTGCACTTGTAAAGAAACAAGATAGAGTCAGAAATCTCTGCTGCCATCTTCTACTGTTACTTCTTATGCAATCATTGATCAAAAGACAGAAATATTAAAATTCCATTATTTCTGAAAGTGAGTGTAACAAATGAAAGGCTATAAATCAAGAATTAGAGGCACATCACAGAATCACAGAATTTTGGATAGAAAATATCTATTTGAATCATGCTCCACCACTTTCACAGCACAGATTTATCAACTGAGGAAGTTATCTCTCATTACAAGTTTTAAATTCTCCACAAAATCTTCTTTCTCCCTTTATTCCTTTCAAAGCCAGTCTGTTGTCCTGTCATAGGGTAGAGACACATTCTCTAAGTACCTCAACTTATTTTAATGGTATACTAATCCACTTGATCCAAGTCCTTGAAACAAGGACAATATACAGTATAGATCCTGAGGCACGCTCATCCTCACCTTGTTTTAACAGAAGATTATTTCTCCTCTTCACTAGAAATCTTCTCTAAGATCATTATTACACCTTCATTTTATATGTATTTGGTCAAAGGTCAAACACAGAGAAAAATGTTCTTTACTGAAATACGTAGTTTGTTTTTCTTCCACTGTCCTAATCTATCTTATTAATAATTCTTTCCCTTTAGTGACCTCCCATAAGTTCCTTATCTCTTTAAAACATCAGTCTCACTCACTTTTTGGCTCAAAAAAAGACTCAATACTCTGTTATTGACAGTATTCGGTTGCTTTTGCTAATATCCACATAAAGCAGTGAGATTAATAATGGATTCCAATATCTGAAACTTCATATTTTTCAAAAGTTGGCTGGAATTACTATTTCCCTATAGGTTAAATTTGTAGTTTATTTGAGTGCAGAAGATACATCATCACATGCTTTTTTAAATCGGAAAGAAAAAAAGGGGGAAAGTATTCACATTTAAAACATTCCTCTCCATTCAATGGAAGAAATATTTAAAATAAAAACATAATGAGAATAAAATAACAATGAGGAATAAGAAAAAGACTTCATCATTTGATTTTTTTTTTACTTAGTGTCACCATAAGTATCTCAGTGGCATGTCTGGATGTATATGAGTCCTTCTTCAAAATTAATGGCTATTTTATTATATTGACCCACGATGTTAGAGGTGTATGTTGGTGGTATGACAGTAGAAGTTGAACCTTCCCACCAATATTCTGTTACTTTTTTTTTTCTTTTTTTTCTTTTTTCTGTATTATGGATGTTTGCAGAGGGGCAAAATATCTGACATTAAAGTACCTATGAAGCAAAGATGTGTCATTGCATTCTTCCACCCAGAAAAAAAAAAAGCATTCATTCAGTAGTGCAAAAACATTCATCAGTGCTTGCTGAACCTTTGTGGGGACCAAACAGTGGATGTTAGCACACTGAGGCAGTGAGTGGTGCGTTCAGCAATGATGCTGGCATGGCAGCTGTGAAACTGTGGATCATCCCTTCTGGTGGAGGTATTTACAATCATGCCATGCATGATTTTGGTCATTGCTGGTAAAAATGCTTAGCTAATTCTTGTGACTATATTGATTTGTTCATATGGAAATAAATAAAAGGCATTACTTTTGGAATGTCTTAAGTCATTCTCTTTTTTTAGTCTTCCTTTCTATATAGTTGTAATTTCTTACTATCATTCCTGACATCATCAATAAACATAAATTTCATTCTTTAAGTTTTCATTTGGATGCTTCATCAGGTATCTTGAACTGATTGCCCCGATGACCTAGAAGAAAAAAAATCATCATTGGCACATTGACATCAGATTTTGATGACTTCCTAAAAGACTTCTACTCTCTTCAACGAAAACAACCTTTCTAAAAATAACATCCTTTTTTTTTTTTTTTTTTTTTTTTTGTATCTGTATTTGTATCTTGTTTTTTTTTTACATACATACATATTTGTATGTTCTTCCTACCAAGACACCTGATGGTTCTTGAAGAATCAGTGCTCATCAAATATTTTTAACCGGCTGTTGTGTTCTTGGTCAGAGTTTTTAGCTTTCCTGCAGAATCTGCAGAATTCAGATTTAAACAACTTTTTCCACAAATGTTATAAAGCCTTACAAATACACCTTTAAAAATACAAATATAATATTCAATAGTCTTAGTCATCAAGCATGAAAAAGATCTGCATAAAGAAACACAAGAATATGAGTAGTCAAACATGACTTTATTGTATGTATATTTCAATGTATCTTTCACAGAAGATGACTCAGGTAAATGAAATAGATTTGTAGTCCAATCAGCTAATTTTCTGTCACCTCAGAACCATGAAGCAAAAATCTACCTCTATAACTCTTGGTGTCTGAAAACGTCTTCCAGTTCTTTCAGTCTTATGTTCAGCATCGTTCTGCTTCACTGGAACATTCTTTGTTAAAATGCCTTTGGAAAATACATGAGCTTTTCTTGCTTGTTCTCTATTTATCTCTTTTTTAGCTGAAATCTCTAATGATCGAGTCTATTCTACATGAGGAGATATTATTCAGTGGGAACAACCTGTTTTATTTTTAAGCAGGACAGTTTGAGAGACAGACTGATATGAGGCAGGAAAGACTTCTTTAGTCAGCAGGAAGGCAACCAGGTTTGTCCTTTATTTCTGTTGCAGTTTCTACAAACTAGAGTGCATATCATTCTTTCAGATGTGTTTCTACACCATAAGACGACAGACAGCACTGTACCCAATGTAGTATAATATGCAATGAGAAAGGAAGTAAATGAATAACAACAATAACAACAAAAAAACACAATCTGCACAATTTCTGAGCATCTGTTAAATATAATTCATTTCTTCTATGTAAAAGAAATTGTAAGATATTATTCTGTTAACATCAGTGTCTCAAAGTTTGCTGGGGACACAGATGGACTTGTACAAGTTCAGGCAAATCCTGGGCAAAGGTTGTGAGATCCTTTGTCTGGGGGACACAGATGGACAAGACCAGGGGCAAGGAGAGAGAGATGAGCTGCAGCTAAATAGCCATTAAGTGCTCTTTTGTGTGGACTTATCTCAGGATGATGTCCATCTCAGGGGGGCTCAATGACTCTTGCTCAAGACCCTTCCTTATCACATAGGCAGGAGAACAAGTAGGATAAAAGGGGAATTGAAAACCATGAGGAGAGTTTTCTGGCAACAGATTCCTCATGAAGAAGAACTAGGATTTCTGACAACAGATTCCTCACGAAGTGATGCCTGCATGCTGATGTACTCTCCTGGGCCTGCTGCCTGAGCGCTGCTGCTTCCTCCTGGATTGACTCCACAACTGCCTCCGCTACCTGCTTGCTGCCCAAGGCCGGCCATGCTGCTGTTCCCCCCCTCCCCACCCTGCTGCTTCTGCCTCGGACCTTCAAAGCCGTGCAACAGGACGCTGCTGGATCCTGGTGGTGACTCTCCCCACTTTACGCAATTCTTGCTTCTTTCCTATCTTTTCTATCGCCCTCCTTCCCTTCCCTGTCTCCCTGATTAGAATTTGTAATAAACTGGTTGGACTAAAATATGAACCATTGTTTCTTAATCTCATGCCGGGTATACAGATAATAAAAGAACCTCATCTCCCTCCTATAAATTGGAGCGAGACAGAAATAAACATAGGAGTTGAAGTATAAGAGCTTACGCAACCTTCAGTAATCAGGGACTTCACAAACATGATTCATTAGGGTTTCTCTGACTTAGATACAATACATTGAAGATCTCTTGTGTGAGCATATCTTGCAGTCATAATGCCACATATCTGAGAACTCTGTCCTCACAAGCAAGCTAGGTTCTTAAAACTGGAGTCTTGTGGAAGCACTTCAGATTTTTTGTCTTGAAATATGTAGGTTAAAAATCATTTGTAGACCTCTATCTTCATTTCTATGGAACTTAGCTACTTGAACATCTGCAGAAATGGGCACATAGAAACGATGATGATGCTTACAGTAAGTTTACTCTTAAAAGCTATCATTTTTAAAACCATCACTGTTTTCTGTGATTTTTGTTTGTCTTCCTTCTTCTCCCAAATTCTAAGAAATGATAGTAGACAGAAATCAGCTTTATCACCCATCTTGTGCATAACATACATTTTCAGGAATTAGTCTTAGTTTCAGTCATCTCAACTTGAATTCTAAATTTTCAGTTTTCCATTGCTCAATTCTGAAAGAGTTTCACTCTGAGATGAGTTCTGAAAGAGTTTCACTCTTTCAGCTACTATTAACTGTAGTTTCTCTCCTGGTCATTTATCCATGACAAAACTGATCTCTGGCCACCTAAAAATGAGTAATTAGATGTCGCTCCATGATTAATAAAAATGAAGCATTGATATGAATGAAAAAGGAACACATTACAGGTGTGTAATAATTGACTTTTATGTCAGACAAGTGGTCAATTCTTGATTGTCTGAAGAATAAGTAAAACTGTAATTTATGCAGAACAAACAAGCTGAATTTTACTATGAATATCAGAACATAAATATCCGTGCCACTAGTTTAACCAATTCATTTATTTCTTTCTGCATTAGATGGTAACAAACAGACACGACTGTTTATCAATAGCAGATTATGAGCGCACTACTTTAGCTGTGCTTACCCTTAGACTTCCTGCCAATAGGCGTTGCCAAACAACATTGGTGGAGTCAGTTACACTCATCTGATTGAACACTGCATATCTCTGTATAAATGCACATGTAGGTGCAGCTTCTCTTTACTTCTAGTAGTGCTGATTAGTGCCTCAGTAACCACAGTAGTTCCTTTGCCCAATCCAGAGCTGTGAAAAGGTTTACAAGACTTTTCCCTTTAAACCACATAGTATCTTGCTTTCCCATGGTGATACTATGATTTTGTGATGAACTCTAGATCAGATTCATGCATTTGCTCCAAATAGATTAGAGGAATGCATGAATATTAATTTGTAGTATGTTTTGTAGACTGTTTACAATAATTCTGTGATTACTTTCTGGTAATTGTGTATTACTAATTCTTGTTGTATAGATACAACTTCAAAAAAAAAAACAAGAAAAAGGTTCATTAGTAATGGACTCTTGAGAGTGATTTCATAACAGAAATAAATTTCCTCTATTTAATATGGAGAAGTTGCATATATTTTCAGATACAGTCAGATGTAGCAGCACTAAAACAGCCAGGCAAATACAGTCAAAAACTCACAAGTATTTTTAACTGCATTAACATCCACCATTGCTTGTGCATTCAACAGAGGTATGTAAGTTAGATACAAGGATGTGTTCCACAGTCAGCACAGATTTGGGCTACAGGAGTTTGGAGAGTGGCACTGAAATCAGAGAGCAGAAATAAATTAAGGAATCAGGATACAAATCAAAGTTTTTCTGGAAGATCTGAAAGGAGGCTTATAACAGCTTTTAATGTATTTCAACACAAGGAACACCAAAAATTCTTCAGATTAGCATGAATGTCAGTCTTCAGAAGGAAACCACAGCAACAGTCATTCTGAATACAATGCACCTCTCTCAGCATCACTGCGCTAGTATATCTGACCAGAAGTGACTCACAAAACTGCATCTTGGAAAAAGGTTCGTGAATGATCCCCCAAAAAGAGTGGGGATAATTTTACATGACCAAAACCATCTTAGAATGACACGTGTACTCCTTCACTTACAGTTTGCTTTCTACTTTTTCATGGCTATTCAGCATATTCTTTGCTTTGTGCACCAATCCGATTGCTACTAAGCAGTTGTTCTGCTGTGAGCAATTAAATAGCTGTCTAGGGTGGCAAAATGTGGTGATGGATTAGGCAGTCTCTATCTGTTTACAATTTTGGTCAGTGAAATTTGGAAAGAACTTCAGAATCTTTGGCTGAATACCCCTCTGCTAATGCCAGTGATTAATTATTAACAAATGTGCTGTTATTATTTTAATAAGCTTCTCAGTATGCTTATGGAGCTGTGGAAATCTTCCATGCTCTGAAGGTAATGCCTTGTTGTATAATCAATGGATACCAAGATGTTACAATCACATAATAAACAAGAGAGTTAGGCAAAATGGACTATGATAACAAGAGAGAATAAATGGAAGGCTTACCCTTATGCTGGGCTCACCACAAAACACCAGAAGGAGGGATCTCCAGGTAGCCAGCTCTTAAATAGGTCTAGGAGGGGTGCAGCCTGGCTCCACCCCTTCCGGCAGCACAGGTGAATTGCCTTCACCTGTGCTCCTCTGGCTGACTCATGGCTCACCTCAAGTGATCAATCAGAGGTTCAAGCCATGACTCCTCCATACACCTCGTATTTATTTTCATGTAACAGATAGAAAAAGAACCAATAACACTGTTTGATGAAGCAAATTTTCAGCTATAAAACACTGTTTTTCAACATTGTCACCACCATTAGCCAATTTGCACAGCTGAGCAGACCAAGACACATTTCATTTCATGGTATGACAGCTTTGCATGGCTGTCCTGAACATGGCTTGTGGGGGTTAGGGAAATGTTTGGCACTGCAAGGTGGTGGGCATGGAACAGAACCTCCCACTAATGGCAGTGGGCACAGACCCAAGATTTTGTAGCTCAAGTACTGTTTGGACACTGCTCCCAGACCTGGGCTTGGGTGTGTTGTGTGGAGCCAAGAATTGGACTTAGTGATCTCTGTGGGTCCCTTCCAGCTTGGGATGTTCTTTGATCCTCTGTTTTTAGAAGAAAGACTCACTGCTTGGCTGTTGGCATGAGGATGGGCTTACAGAATCACGGAATCATTAAGGTAAAATTTATCCTGGAATAAAATAGAAGCGAGTACACGTCTAAGGCTTTGAATAAATTCAAAGGCGTTCTTTCAATGCCTCTGAATTTCCCAAGCCATCAGACAATTTCCTCCTTTATGAAAGTATTTATAATAGATCACCTCCTTTGTCAGCTAAATTCACAACAAAAGTGTCCCATATTCCTATAATCAATGATGTCTGAATATAAATTAACCTCTGAATAGAAATTAATCAAATTTGTTGAAACACTATGGGCATCCATGACAACATAATGAAGAACTGCTGCAGCACAGTTTTACATAGCTCCAGGTCTGGCTCTCCTGTTGCTTGGAGAGTGGCTGTTCCAAACTAAACTCAGTCAGAAGCAGTCCCAAATGCCTGTTCTCCATCTAAATATTAGATGTGATATGTGTTTACCTTCTTCATGACAAGGAACTCAGTTTGAAAGCTTCCTGAAGAAAGAAAAATAGAACAGTATTTCTTGGGTGTTTGTACTATGAAATGATCTACAGAAAGCTGAAGTGACATGTAAGAAAGAGTTCAGTGTGTGTTTACATGTTCTACCAAACCCTGCTCAGTACCTTACAGAATTAGACAGTTAAGGGTTAAAAATTTGTTTAGGGAGAAGAGATTTGAAAGTTTTTCAGCTCCAATCATTGTAATATTAACCAATGAGGGCCTACTGCTTGATCTTGAGTTTTCTGGTAGCATCAGTAAGGATATTTCAATATGCTTTTGGTCAGGTGTTTAAGGTCTCTGAATTAAGTAGAGAGCAGAGCAACAGGCAAGTGGAAATGGTGGTTGTAAAGAATCTGCGTCCAATTTCTGAAAACTAAAGTAATTTATTTGCAGCCATGTAGCAAGCTAAGTAATATCAACCAATTTAAATCACAACCAGTAAGGAATAATTTCTGGAGCACAATTTCCTCTATCCTACTCAGACAACAACAGTGATAAAATAGTAATTATGACGATAAGGCTCAAAATTCGTGTGAGTTTGTTTGAGTTGTGGTTATTTGTTTTTTGATGGAGTTCTGAGGATGGAACAATCTTCCCTTGTTTACATAATCAAATCATCAAAATCTTTAGAACAGGGCATGCTATTAGCAGCTGGCTGTATCATGTGTTGTTGGATCCTTTTTTACAGCTTTTGTTGAATTCAGTTTGGGTATCTATTGGCCTTTAGTGAAAATCTACTGTCTTCTAGTACTTAATTTATATTAATATATGGAGTTGAGTGTGTGTGTTACGTCAGCTGCAGAGGCCCATTCAGTCACAGCTCTTTGCCTCTGCAGCAGCCAGGTGGGTTCTGATGGGGTCAGGACTGTTCTCTGCAAGCACTGCTGGCTCGTATGCATGCAAGATACAGATGGAAAGGACAATTGGAATAACAGTTTTGTCAAAAGCCGGTGAGAAATTGCATTAAAAAAAAATAATTTCAATTTTCAGAAAAAAAAAAAAAAACAAAACCAAAAACAAACAACAAACCAACAACCACCAAACAACTCAAATCTGTAGACATTTTCCTTGGTTGGTACGTTTGAGCAGCCAGGTAGTTGTGCAGACCTCACCTGGGGGACGTGTACTTTGCAGGTGCAAAACTTCTACATGGAAACTTACAATTATTCTCTCAATTATTCCTATAAAACTTTTTAAATTATTTGTGTTTCTCAGGACAAAGACACAGTTAAAAATACTCATTTTCATAACATCTTCAACGTGAAATGTACTTTGCTATGTTCATGAACCTATGAACCGGTGAAAGAGGAGCAGCTGCACCCAGATCCCACCTGTGTGCTGTTACCCAGTGAAGCTGCTTGGGCATTGCAGTGTGGTCAAAGAAGTGGAAACTGAAAATTAAATTCCTAAAACAAAAGACTACAATAAGATACAATCTGTCTGCTAAGTTTTAAACCAGGTGAGATGGGAGTTTGAAAGAAGAGGTGAGGTAACAGGTGTCAGCTGTTTCCACATTTTTCTCTCTGTAACAATATTTCTAAGTTTAGAAGGGATTTTCTCCACAGAGGTAGAGACCTGAGAAGACAGTGTAACACCCGAAGCAAACAAATACCAAAGTCCCACACCAGCTGGGACTGGGTGCTGGGTTTATGAAGTGAGACCACCTGTGAGGCAGCCCTGAGCTGAGGGGATAGGCGGTAACGCCTCAGAAGGGCTCGTGCCCACGAGATGACCTCTGCCCACCGCATCCAAGTAGAAAAGGCGGGAGCGGTGCAACGGGATGCAACAAAGGCGAAAACCAAGAGCAGCATTCTTTGCTCCTATTGGCTGACGGGCGGTGGGGACACCTATGTAAGGCGCGCAGACGGGTACTTGAGTGACAGGTGTTCTTCTCAGGTTGCGGCGGGAAAGAGAGCGCTCTGGGTGGGAAGCCAGAACGAAGCCTTCTGGGCTGAGGTAAGGGGACAAGCGTCATCCTCACTGGGCTCGAAGGGATGGAGGCTACGGGACAGGACGACATCAAGCAGGGAAGTTCGAGTTCGCATCGCAGAGGGTGGATGGTGGATTGAGGGGCGGCAGAGCCAAATTTTACGGGCTTAAAGGAGGTAAAGGAGGCTAAGGAGTGCTGAAGCAGGTGCTGTTGCTGGGCTGTGGGAAGGGTGCAGAGGTAGGCGCTGTTGTGAAGTAAGGGGGGGGGGGGGGTGTGTTGCGAAGGCATGCACCGTTCCCAGGTTGGGAGTGCGTGAGGGGAGGAAGAGAAATGCTGATCCCGCGCTGAGGGGCGGGGGAGAGGAGTGGAGAGGAGTGAGAAAAATGTGGCTCCGACACTGAGGAGCGAGGCGGGACCGCGTGAAGACAGGGAGAAAAACACGGTTATCCCGATGGCGGAACGCATGAGGGGAAGGAGAGATGCCGCTCCCGGGATGAGGGGCGCCTCTTGTGGGGGGAGGAGGGGGGGGAGAAATGTTCCCTCGCTGGGGGGCGGAGCGAGACAGGGATGCGTGAGGGGAGCGAGAAAAATGTGGTTCCCGCGCTGAGGAGGCGTGAGGGGAGGGAGAGAAATGCCGCGTTCTGGTGCTGG